TCAAAGACAAAAGGTTTGGGCAGAGGAATGGTTGTGACAGAGGGAAGTGAAGAGAGAAAGAAAAAGGGAAATTGAAGGATTTCAGGTATTCACCAACAAAGCTTTGGGCAGAGGAACGGGGACGAACCAAGTGAGAAAGACTATGGAAGAGAAATCACCAGGTTTGAGTACCTTAGAACAGGACAGAACAAGAAATCAATCTTGGAAGAACCAAGCCTCGTTACTGGAAAAACGAAAAATCACCATTGTCCAGTGTAATGGAACAGGCCGATGTGTGGTGTATGAGAGGAAAGGCTTGGCTTCTATGTATGGTGTATGAGATGAATGCGCAGAGGAATTGAAACTTTGGGCGATAATCCAAAAAGGAAAGTTTAGGTTTAAGAGAGAGCGCTTCCTAAATGCGATGCGAGGGATCTCACCGCCTTCTCTTTCTTGATTTCCCAATCAATGAAGAATGGCGCAATGCTATATATTCAAAACCAATTCTTGCTTCACATTCAAGCAAATGACCGCCTAAAACCATAAATTACACATACCTCCCCTACAATTGTCCAGTGTAATGGATTTTTTTGTTTGGATGTAAGAGTTGTAGTGAAGACAGACGATCTTAAACCATAAATAATTACGATTTTCTTTGCTTTTTAAACAATAAATTACACATACCCCCTAGAGACCAATAATTACGTATTTCTCTACTTTGTAAACAATAAATTACACATACCTCCCCTAGGGATAGTGTTTATTATGGGAAATATGAAGAGAGAATATGTGTGTGTGTGTGTGTGTGTGTGTGTGTGTGAAAATTTAAGGAGTAGGTATTAAGTCATAGGAAACCTAAAACAGTCCACTCAAACAGAGATAATACAGTGATATGGGAAATATATAGAGAGAATTTTAATTTTAATTTTTTTTTATTTTGAAAGGTGAGAGAAAATTCTTAAAATTAGGTTGAATATAGTTAATGTGCACTGTGCACATAACACCCCTTAATTTAAAAGACATATTTGTCATATGAAACAAATTTGAATATTAACACATATTGGAAGATCATCCATCTTAAGATTTTGATTGAAAAATAGCAATTGATTTGAATCGATTTCACTTCCGCGATTTCTTGGAACCAGCCCTTTTCTTAAACCCAAAAGAAGAAAGAAAAAAGTTTTAATTAAGCAACTATTTTTAATAAGCAAATAAAATGCAATTATTCACTCAATTATATATATATTTCCCCATATCCTTTTACGGAGTACCTTTTTTTTTAGTTTTTGGCTATCACTCTCTCCAATCTATATACACTTTACATAAATAAAGTAATGAGAAAGAATTTGAGGTTCTTGTCTAGATGAATTGGGCTGATAGAGTACATATGCATGGGTATGCAACACCACAATAACTTAATTTTTTGAATTAGTGACCAGCCACCGACCATAGATTACGTTAATCCAATGTACAAAATTTCCACAATTCACAATCTACCGTTATCATGAAACTACATTACCATGCCCCCCTCAATAACCATCCTATCATTTCAGAAGCAAAAACTCACATGAGAAGTTATAAAACAAATCACTGCAAAACTTCATATACCCAATCAGAATTACAGTTTATTATCAACTTTACAATTTAAAAATTAAAAATTTGGTCCGGAAATATTGGCCACTCCGCTGGTGCATCCACTCTCCAAACACAAGTACCCTCTCCCATCAGAACCAACACCTCCTTCCCAAGTCGCACCATTGTTGCCCGATGACGCCTAAATTGCAACCTCTCAACTTCAGTGTTCAGAAAGAAACAGACCATTTTCCAGTTACCAATCACGAAATCTTCATTATTTTCTCCAACCCTCAGCCACAGTTTTGTGCCTAGTCGATCTGACCAGGTCAGTATTACCAAATTCCCAAGCATTGATGTCACTGCAAACCCTTCAGCCTCCTCTGGCAAAAATGAGTTTAGAGGCAGCCATGTATTTGAGAGAGGATTGTAGATTTTAGCCGAGTCCTTAGCAGTTGCACCACTAAAAACGTAAAATTTGCCCGTGAGCAAGACCTATTGCAAATGGCTTTTGCTTTTTGCATGGATGGCAATGCTTGCCATTCCCTTGTTTTGAGGTTGAGCCGCTCTGCTAAGTTGAGATAAGCTGAAGGCTCAGCATCTGTTGGTCATAACATAATGTCAAAAGCAATTTCAATGACCACAAGAAGTGATCTAATTCTCGATAGCAAAAATCTACAATAGAAATTTAACATGCTGCTTCGACGTATAATATTAAACAAACATTTAGTTACCAATATCACGAGCAGTCGTAAGAGGCTGGTATCAGGGAGGGAGCTACGTGGCCAGGGTGGGAGAATAGTCCAGGTTGAGGAGAAGATATTTATATAATTAAAAGGTAACACCTTCCAAAAAAAAAAAAAAAAGGGTTAACTTCAAGTGAGGTTCACTAATGCAACTGTTAGGATTGAGGGAATTTGCCCAAAACCTTCAAGGACCTTGTGCAAGTGCTACAACAAACAAATGGAGAATGAAAAAGAATGAACAAACAACCACCAAGAGCAAATGAACCAAGAACCAGATAGAGCTAAATCTAGTATCGAGACTTGAAAATTACATTATTAGTGAATTTAACAATTCATTGAAATTAATAATTCATGACATAATGCAATTTTTCTCTCATAACCCACTCAAGAGTTCTGAATCTGTTGTTACTTGTTACATGGTAACCTTCACTTACATGATCAACACGCAATGGTGCTGCTCAACATTTCATTTCTCCAGAATTGTTCTTTTGTATCGAGAGAGGAAATTTTCTTTTTTGGAAGAATGCACTCCCCTAAGACCCCTTTTGTCACCTAGAAAGATTACATGGTTCAAAATAGTATAATTTACATGATTTTTTGATTAGTGGTCAAGTTGTTTTAGATTTTTGTAGGTTGTCTATTTCATGATTTGGTTCTTATTTGTCATTTTTTTTTTTTTTGACTTTTTTATAAGTGGTTTACTACTACTAAAAGATTTTATAATTGTTTTTTTGGGTATAAATAATTTTAAAACGTGACTTTTTGAATTGTCTTTTTCATTAATTACAGTCTGGTTTCTCTCTTCAAAATCTACTACTGTTAGTCCTATGGTTTGATAAATCCTTCTTATTGAAAACTTTTGCTTTGTTACGATCAGTATCTTCAATATATATATATATATATATATATATATATATATAAACAATGCTTTTGACTAGGATAATTGCTTTGTTCCGTTAAATGGTCAGTCCCATTGGCTTTGACTGTTTAACGTGAAATTCAATTTATTTGATTGATGAATTTGAGTCCTGTTATCAGTAATCACCAATTAATTTTAGGATTAAGCGAAAATAAATCTCCTTAAAATATAAAATTTGTGCAAAAATAGTCTTTATTTTTTAAAAATATGCATTTCAGTCTATAAAATTCAAAATAGATACAAATAAGCCTCCCTAATCACTTTTTAATCAAAATTAAATATAAAAACTCTAATTTACCGTTTTCTCTTTCTATTCTTCCCCTTTCTCCCTAATAAGATAAAATTAGTCCCAGTGATGTGGCCCAATATAACATTAACATGTGTCCTAGGGTCAAACCCGTTTGAAACGGGTTACTCGTATTACAACCCTAATGAATTTCTCTCTTGCCCTGAACTTTCTCTCCTCTCTCTCTCATCTCCATCTCCGCTTACCTCAAGAACAGATGATCTCAAATTTTTAGCAAAAATCAAAATCAAAATAATAGCCCCAAATAAATAATTTAAAATTAAAATTTCGTTTATAAAAATCCATTAATTTTTTCCCCCTTTCAGAGCATATACATATAATACACACACACACACAGAAATACACATACACATATGCATGTCTGGGTTTCTGTTATCAATAGGCATTGTCATCTTGTTGACATTTTTTGTGGTCCTGTTTTGTGTTTGGCCGTAATTTTTTTTGTTTTTTTCATCTTCGTCTTCCATCTTGGGTATGTGAGATTTTGGGGTTGGAGTCTTATAGAGCAGTTCCTTGATCGTCTGAGGCAGTGGTGGTCTGCTTGGTTTTTTAGATCTCGCTGCCGGTGGCTGTGTACAGAGCCAAGGAAGAGAGATGGAGAGAGGGTGGGAATTGCGGCGGCGACGGTGGTGCAGGATGGAAGCCGCGGCTATTAGGGTTTGGGATGGTGGTTGTGTGCAGTGGAGATTTGCTGGGATTTCTTTTCTGATGTGGGTAATACTCGATTAACCCATTTTGCAATGGGTCTATTGTATTATTTTTATTTTTAATATTATAAAATATTTAGGACACATGTCTAGTTTTTGTTAAGCCAGATTATTGCTACTTACAGTAAAATGACTCAATTAGCCCTTAAATTAATAGTCATAAGAGTATTTTTAAGGATATATTTGTCACAAAAATGTTAGTTTTGTGGGTGAGTTTGAGAAATGTCTAAAATGGTAATTTTACATTGCTTGATTTTTTTAATATTTTATTTTATTAACAAGGAAGTATTATAATTTTTTATGTGAGCAGTTAAATATTTGTACCAAACTGAAAGTATAAGTTTATACAACATATGAACTGTTAAGGATTATTTCGATAGTGGAGGGAATTTTTGCACCTATCCTTAATATTAACTAAATTAATAGAGGCAGCCATGTATTTTTGAACTTTTTGTTTTTTCAAAATTTCCTGGCAAACAAACTCGACTTTGGTACTTTTATGAAATTTCTTTACCTATAGAGAAATCATTGACTAAAAATATCATTATGGTAAAAAGTAAAAATCATATTTTTATATGACAGAATAAACTGCCTTAAAAAAAACACGCGATTTAAATATTAGAGATCTATCTTGCAATTTTAAGGTTTTGTTTTGTTTTGTTTTGTTTTGTTTTATTTTATATATATATATATATATATATATAATACTAAAATTGAATCGAGGGCGTTTAGGTAAATACAATAAGACGCTTCGGCTACTCTAACAAAACAGACTTTGATTCTCGAAACCCTCGGGGGCGCGGCTTTTTCTTTGGTAGAGAGAGAGAGGGGGAAGGGGTTGAACCTTCCTTTAAGAAGCTGAGCTCTATTGTGATTTTAGAGTGTACTCAGTTCTACGATGGCCAAGCGCGAACTATCTAGCACTTTGAAGAACTTGAAGGTAAAACACTGTGCACAACCCTATCTGTATTCATTAACTCCTAATTTTTACTTGTTTAAGAATTTGATTCAAGAGATTTGAGGTGGGTCTTGCTTAAATTCGTCTGGTGCTCTTTTAATTGCGTTGCTTCAAACTTTTGAATTCTTGATTTTATTCTTGTGAACCCTGAGATCGATTTGGGTGTTTTTCATATTCGTTGTTACAGTTCATGCAGAGGGCAGCTCAGAGAGAGGAAAAAACTGAGAAGGAGGAAGAGGTCATACCTGATGGAAACTTCCCATCCTCTAATATCCCAAAAAAATGGTATTTTTTTTTTCTTGTGCCACAAGGTTGGCATGTTTTGTCCACTGTCTAGAATGCTGTGAGAGTCCTTAAGGTGTAGAAATTATTGATGATATTCTAGAAGGCTTCTTAAGAAGATGGGAGTTTTCTGGGCGTCTTACTTATCAAAAAAAGAAAAGAAGATGGGAGGTTTCTGATCCTTGTTTAGATTGTTGAATTACCTTGATCTAAGCTATCCTTTAAGAAGGTGGATGACTATAAACAATTAGGGAGTCAACTGCACAGTCTTAGGTCCTTGGTAAAGTGCTTACAGTGACTGAGAGAGGTGTCCAAGGGCGAGTGAGTGTGATATTAATACACACTGACTATGGAGGCACCAGCGAGTATTGTCATTGGCAAACAAGTGGGGAAAAGATTGACATAGGTCTTGTCGTTAGTGGGATTACACATAGGTGCCCTTTTGGTGTGGCTATCATAGGGGTAAGATTCTAAATCTGTGACAATTAGTACCAAAACCTGGTTGAATTGTAGGGCGAACAGAGCGGGGATTACACCACAAGGATCTCTCTCTATCCTCGACTTATGCATCCCTAAATTCATGCCAATGTGGTCCTTATTCAGAATAATGTTAGGGTAAGGGAAAGACCAAAACTAACATGGGGTGAGAGAGTTGTGAAAGATATGATGGTCTCTGGTTTAACTAGTGTTACGATCAGTGTTGTTAAAGGCCCGCCTAGGCTCAGGGCGCAGGCAATTGTTCAAAATAATAAACAAATAAGAAAGCCCATGAGTCAAAAGTGTCAAACGAACACAGAAAGAGGGAGACAGTGAGATGAAGGACGAAGCCACGCCAGTTCTTTCTTCTTCTCTCTCCTCCTCTACTTGTCTCTCCTCTCTTCTCTTCTACTCCTCTCTTCTTATCTTTTTTTTACATCTCTCTCTCCGTCTAGTTCTCTTTTCTCTGTGTTTTTTTTGGGGGGCGGGGTCGGTTTTTTGTCCTTTTTTTCTATAACACTCTCTCTTCTCGTCTACTTTTCTCGCTTCATTTACTTCTTTTGTCTATGCGTCTATTTTTTTGGCTCTGTTTTTTCTTTTCTTTTCTTGTTGATAGTTTTTATTTTTATTTTTTATTTTAATAGATTTATTTCTTTATGTGCTCTGTTTTGCCATTCAAAAACAAATCCTGCTTTGCCATTCAAGAAAACAAATTTGTGCTCTATTTTATGATTGTTGGATGCTTGTTTAGTTGATGAATTTTTTTATTTATATTTGATACTAATTTTTAGCGTATTGATATGACTTATGAGATATGAATGTTTTTATGGTAGTTTAAATTTTCAATTGTGCGCCTCACTTCACTCAGGCGCGAGCCTCGCCGTGCGCCTAGGCTCCAAAGGACCTCTAGCGCCTTGGTGCGCCTTGGGCCTTTAATAACACTGGTTACCATGTGAAAGAAAAATGGTGAAACAAAATTCAGAATATGACCGTAAAGAAAAATGGCGAAACAAGATTCATGTGTAGCCAACCCCAAAGTAGTTGAAAAGCTTTGTTGAGTTGAATCACTTATCAACAAGAAAATAATGAAATTGAATTATTAGTTGATACTTTGAGTCAACATATATTTCCTGAAGTCCCTTGTGAACTTAAAGTGGGTATCCATCGCATGTCTGTTGTCTTAGTTCTTTCATGTATCAATGATATCGCCACTCTCTTTTTGGAAGGTTCATGCATTAATTATATATTGGTTATTAATGTTAATTCTTCCTTCTTCTCAAAAGCAAATCAAACTCTATTTGCTAAGACAACATGTAGCAATAAATTTGCATAAGGTGGATTGTTACTGGTTCTGTTGTAATCTATAGATTCTATACAAGTAGATCAGCTCAATAGTTATAATGGCTACAAAAGCTTGTACACATATACTGCTTTAATGCATGCCATCTACTTCTTCTTTTTACTTTTGTGAGCATTGATCTCGCCACTGCATTTCATCCGCTGTCATAATTATCTTTTTATCTTTTTGAACATTGATCACACCACTGCATTTCATATGGTGTCAATTCAACCTTCCAATCACTTCACACACTGATAAGTAACAATTTGGTTCATAACTTCATATTCATCAATTCCAACTTTACATGTACGTTCTGAATAATGTTCTAACAATTCCAACTTTACATGTACATTCTGAATAATGTTCTAACATCTGACTCCTCTAATTATATATTGAGTTCTTATCTAGGTATGTGTCTCCAAACAATCAATCATTAAATTAGATGATAATTAAAGTTATTATTGATGTCCACTGTGTTTCTTGTCCTAACTGTTTGGGTTGGCAAGAAAGTTCATGCTAACTGCATCAGAAACAAATGCTGCCTTTCTCAGAAGAGTTTATCATGTTATTCCTTATTTCTGATTTAGGGCTTGGATATTAAAATACCAATATCTCTCTTTTTGATCATGCAAATGATTTTTGGACTAGTTTCTTTGGTACTGTGCTAAATAGATGGCAGTAGAAATGTCTAAATTGATTGGGTGAAATTTTCTTTCTTTCTTGTAATCTTTTGCGAGTCTGGACATACTTTGTGTATTACAAATGATTTGTGGGGGGGGATTAGAGTGTTCAATCTTGTGACAATTTAAATGTCTTCCTGTAGTTGATTGTAATTTGTGATCATACCCTATAGCGTCTTTGAATTGGTTGATCTTGATATCTCACATTGCGCAAAGTTTAGTTCCAAGTGAATTTTTCTTACTTCCACTTATTAAGAGCTGACTTTTGAGTGATAATTATAAATTGAGTTTTTATTTATTTATTTATTTTTATTATATTCTTTTTTATAATTATAAATCTTTAACTGATAAGTGAAGTCAATAAATGATAACAGATAAGCTGTTTTTCATTTTCCCTTTCTTTTGCTTACCAAAAAAAAAAAAAACAGAAGTCAATAAGTGAAGTCACCGTCTAAAATTTTACCTCATATTAAGTAATTTAAGTGGCACTTAATTTTTTTAAGTGGTATCCAAATTGTGTTATTAAGAGCACCTAATTGGGTAGACATTTAATCTAATTCATAATTAAATGTTGAATTGGGTTATCAAACAACTCGTTTCTGAAAAAGAGAATCGTATTTTTAAATGTGATTTTGTTCTCATTGAACAAGAGATTAACATACCACGAAATATGGATGTAGGATTATGTTAGTATTTAGCTGCTTATACCTCTTTGAATTTCTCATGAATTCTCTTGAGCTTTTTTTTTTTCCCCTTCTTTTCAAAAGCTTGTACAAATATGATTCCAGTGGCTATATGTATATGCAGCTTAGTCATTGTGGAAGGGGATCCTCATCCTGGTGCAGTAAAGGGGCGAATGTCATTTCAAAGTTTTAATCCTTCCGTTGATGTGAGTATAAGGGTGTGACCTCATATTTTTTTTTTTTCAAAGATTATTTACTTTGTCTCGTGGCTTTTGCTTTCCTCATGTCAATGCCTTTTCTTGGTAGAAACTGAATGAGGAAGAAGGAAACCTTCATCAACCAGAAGCTTCCGTGAATCAAAGTGGAACAACTGCTTCTAGGTGGGTACTTTAGCGCATGAGGTTCTTTTAACTTAATTCTGCTCCCGTTATTTCTCACACAATTGTTGGGTAGATGCTAGAATGGCTTCAGAACAAATCATTGTTGATAATTTTTTTGGTATTAAATATCTGCTATCTTTGTAAAGAGGATATATATATATATATAAAGGCTTCAGACTGGGTTGAGCAAATTGCTGCAATTTCTGTCAGTAAAGGATTCTCGAGTGACTTCCAATTTTATGCATTTGGCATCAATGATGGAAAATATGGCCATATGACAAATCAGGGCTTTAATAGCTGACCCTGATAGTAGGATCACTCTGTGGTAGGTTGAATTGATTTGGACTCATCTAGTCAATTCAGAAATTACATGGGTGGTTGTGTCATTCATTTAGCCCAGATTGCAGCTGGTAACAGTTTTTCCATTGCCCCTCTCCCCACAAATACAATAAATAACCAATAGTCCCATTATACCGGTGTGACAACGTAGGAAAGTTCATTTAGTCCATTAACTCCATTAGGCTATGTGTATAAATAATAAGTTGAGTACATCATAAATTTCACCGTTTAAAGAGAATACCACTGTAGGGTCATGATCGATATTGTTTTCACGTTGTATTACTTATTTTATGTGAGATAACATAAGTAATAATACGAGGAAAGAAAAAACAACATAACCAAACTATATCATTAACTTAATATATTGCTAATACACTCCTACATATGAGAAAATGGGTGGTAAACACTTTTTCACACGAATAGGAATGTTCGATATTATATACGCAGGTCAACAAATTAATGAGGCACGAACAAATACTACATGTTCTCTATGTTACCTAAACTTTCACGTATGCATCTTTTGATTACTCTCTTTGTTATCATCGCAGAGAGAATGGGTCCACACAGGATGGATCAGAGAGCTTAAAAACCGGAAGTTCCAGCAGTGATGCCAATGGAGATCTTAAAAGGAAACAAGTGGAAGTAGTTTCTGAAGTACGATATCCAAATAAATCACAGAAAAATGTGCAAGGTAATCAAGAGTCCTCATCAAATAACAATATGAGTTCTCATAAGCAGTCAAAGCGTGAGAAGCTGGACTGGAATGTTCTAAGACCTCCAAAGGGTCAAGGTAAGAAAGGGTGATCACTATCAGGTGATTATGTTTCTGAGTTATATGATTTTATTTTCTGTATGCTTAATTTTTATTTTTATTTTAAAAAAGGTTGTAACTGTGACCTTGTAAGCATATTATTAATTCCAATTAGATTTTTTTAACTAGCCTGATCGAATTTGCAGTTCATTTTAAGAGATATATTCTTTTCTTTTTCTTTTTTCCTACCATCTTATTTAAAAGGATTCCCTTCTATGAAGTGAATCTGATCGATCTTGATACAAGATAGAGTATGGCCATGATAAGGAATTCTTAAAACGAGAATGTGTGTTTCGAGTATACGACTAGATATATATATATGCATGCTGTATGAATTTATATATGTTTAAAAATTAAGATGGATAAGTATCAATTTCTTATAAAGAGAATGTGTGTGTCGAGTATATGACTATATATGTATGCTGTAAGAATTTATATATGTATAAAAATTAAGATAGATATGTATCTATGCATACATTTAAGTTGTAATTGTTTGAAATGTTAAATTCATATATTATTAATAACATTTGCTATACAAAAAATTCTGACAAAGTAATTTTACGGATGATTTAAACATTCTGTATTTTTAGCTATAATATTAAAAATCACAAATAATTTGAGTTATGTTCTATGGACAAGGACTTTGGACCAAATTGACCTATATATATTTTCATTATATCTTTATACTTCTTCTCTAAGGAAGTCCAAGTATTTGAAATATCTGTTATGCTTTTCTGACAACTAGACCATGATATTATGCTAGAAATGTATCATATTAAAAATGATGCATTTTTAGTGTTCAATAACCCTTTTTTGACGGTTCAAGCCTCGGGTGGGGCATGTTCGTGAGTATACTTTCAGAGTAAATATGTGTTTGAAATGAAATAAATATTTTTTCGTATCATGAATACGGTTGGAAAGTATCTAAAACATATCCGCGAGTATAAAAGGATTATTGGTGTCTGATGCAAATATAAAATGGTACGACACTCTGATTAGTGTCCAATCATTGGTTACTGCACCTCACTTGAGGTTGGCTTACTATTATGATCTCACATCCAGTTTCAATATGCAAATAGAGGAGGCTTGGTATTTAGGTGATGTGTGAATTGACTGTGTTTGGTGGTTTTAGGGTTTAATGAATTTGGGAGGATTAACTGTAGTGGAAGTTAATGATGGTGCTGCCAGGCAATGGTAACTTGATGAGCTTTGGTTTGAAGCTGTTGGTGGAGGAGGTTATTTGGTGGTGGTCTAAATCATTTTATGCTATCAATGGTGAGAGTGAGAGAGCAGGATGGTGATATGGAGAGTGTTTATTACATGTACAGTATAATTTGAGTAAAAATAAAAGAAATCAATATATTTTTGTGTATGTTAACAATTTGTTTTGTAATGTGATGGATGATAGATGGAGTTCTCTTAACTTTTTGCATAAAACAAACGTGTGAATGTAATTCCACAAAAAAAATTAATTAAATTGAGGAAGCAACACATCATGCAGCGGTAATACAAAAGTGTTGCATTGTTGATTTAATGGTGCTGTCTGGGTATTGTCTCTTTGAAGTAGCTGTGTGTTAGACGAGTATTTATATAATTTTTGCATGAATATTGCGTTGGATTTTGAAGTAACAGTGTTTTAGACAAGTATTTATATCATTTTTGCATGAATATTGCATCCTTGACATAGTGAGTTGGATGGTCTATAAAGGAGTTTGATTTCGTTCCCTTCTTCAAACAATATTAATGCTGCCTGAAAGCAATTTCTCCTTTTAAATTAGGTATTAGGAACAATGTTCACAAGGCTTAGGGGCTAGGGTTGGGGCACAATTAGGGTTTTAACAAGCGAAACATCAATTTACACATATTCATTCATTCTTAATCAATAACTTGAATTCCAGATATAATGCTACCCACAAATATGAAAGGAATTACTTGTGCTTTTATTAGCTAAAACCACTATAATAAGGACGCAACTTATGGTTCATAAACTCGAATAAGTAGAAATTTTTGTACTACACTACATGTAAACTAGTGGTTGCAAGGCTGGTTAACAATAACAATACAAATCAACAAATCTGAATTCAAACTCATTTATATATTTAAATAAAATAGAAAATGGAGGCTGCACCGGTGCAACGTCATCTTCAGAACAAATGAAGGTGAAAGATCATGATATAAAAATGCAACAGCAAAATCAGATATGGTTGGTAGGTTGGAATCACAAAAGATCAGCTCTGTATTTCAATCTGTTGAGCAAGAAAACCCAATATGATATTCATCAGAACATAGTCATTTCAAGTTTATGATATTACAAATAGACACACACTTGTAAAAGTGCAGAGAGATAGGGTAGAAGAAGCCAGCAGTACCTCTGCTTAGATTCTCAAAAACCTGAGCAACGAGCACGCACCAAGATTTACAAATCCTAAGCAGAGAATTGCTAAACTCAATTCTCGTGAACAGGCTTCCAACATGAGAGAGCATAGATGATTCGGCCTTTCCATCCCTGCAGCATCCAGTTGTTATCCTCATCCACAACAAAATCACTATGGTAATCCGACTTCACCTTTGTCCTCACATCCTTAACCATCTCCTGGTTCAGTGGCAGCTGCCTGAACCCAGCCCTCCGAATCCGAACTTGCCATTGCTTGTATGTCTCTGGTCTTTCAACCCTTTCGGTACCCTCACATGCTATGACATTCATAGCATCTCTTCCAAAGATTTCTTTCTCAAACAGCATCCTATCTTGATCTTCAGCTGGTGCACAAGCCTCGAACATGTCAAAAAGTGACGAGAAGTAGAAGAGTGCTTCTCTGAACCGTGTGACAAAGAAGGGGGCACTATAAGTGCCATTAATAACTCCATGGATGAATATATCTGGGCTAATCCTCTTAATCAAGTTCAAGACAGCATCCCTTGGACTACTAATCACCACTGTCTCGTCAGGAACATTCCCCAACCGGTGCATACAATTAACCACAAGCACCTCACCTCTGTCAATCTTGAGATCCTCAAGTCGGATGGTGTCCCATTTCTTTGCTATGGCATTGTACTCAAATGGGATGTTAAATCGCTCGCAATAATTTGCTAGGCGACGTCCTGTTTCCTCAACCCTTGCAGCTGGCCGGAAGCCCGGTTGGGGAAAATCTATTCCAGTGATGCGTAGCTTAAGAGGTCCACTAGATCTCTTGGAGAGACGTTGGATGAGGCAGGGCCATTGAAAACCATATAGAATTCCAAAATCAATTATATGAATCCTCATTGCATTGTCAGCTAATTCCCTAATTATTCGATTTGCAGAGAAATACGACATCTTAAGGAAAGGGCAGGCTGTAACAAAAACTTTGTACGCTTTTAAAATATCAGCAGCCGATATCCTCCTGGTAGTAAATGCTGTATACAATGATATCCCGGTCCCAGTTCCAGCCAAGCGTGCCTCGAGGGCATCGGCAATGTAATGGGCCAGTCTCTGGCCACCATCACCGTAAGCAGAAGAGTGTTGCCTAATCTTCATCAGCAGATCATTCGCAGATCTAACATCACTATTCGCAACAGCTTGTGCACACTGCGTTAGGATTGTCCTTAAATCCACCACATCCTTTTTGTTGCCTTGTCTCTTACCACGCGGCCTACCAACATTTGAAGCTTTCGGATTCCCATTCTGCTGCAACTTAATGCTTGCAACATTTGGCAAAGCTTCATCAGAAAACAACTCAGGGTTCAAATTAGGACATAGCAACACCTTATCATACATATCTAATTGCTCGGGCTCTGCAGGGTAATTGCTCGCCAACTGCTTGTTACTCCGGCCGCCTTCTACATAATCACTATCCTCTTGAAAATGATTCTTCTTTCCCCTCACCCCATTTGGTGAATGGTTCCTGCCACTATCCTCTGCCTCGACCACTACCCCCGACTTCTTCTTTCTCGGCTCAATACCATAATTCACACTAATTTTATCAGAAATGATCTGGGAAACTTCCACTCTCCCTAACTGCGGTATGGTAAAAGCCCCATTATAGGAATCTGAAGCCGGAAATGAACTAACAAGAGAGTCCATTTTACCAGAGGCAGCATTGTTTGAAGACTGCAAATTGGATTGCAAAAGTCGAAATGAAGCTTCGAATTCACTCTGATCATGAACCCTTTCAGACTCAACTAATTTGCTCACAGGAGTAGAGCTGTTACTTCTCTGACTGCTGCAAGACGTCGCGAAATCATCATCTGGGCTCTCAACAATTTGAGGGTTTCGAGTAAGCTCAGGAGGGTACTCCTCCACAAGAACATCATAGAATGATTTCTCAGCAGCTTGAAGAGCCAAGCAGTCATGGTACATACAAGGCTTATGCTCCAAATACTCCTCCTCCATGAGCATCTGGCTTATGTACCGGAGAATCGCATCGGAAAAGTCACCCTCCTCCGTAGAATCCCCCTCCGAGCTCGAGCCCGGAGATACTACTACTTCACCGGGAGGATGCGGAGGATTTGTAGTGATACGATTGAATTGGTGTCCATCGACATGATTTTGAGGCGAAAGGGCGGGAATTGAGTGGTGATGAAAATCATACCCCTTTGCGGAACTAGAATATCCTTGCACAAGAGTATCCATAGAAGACTCTAACCTAACCAAATCATTTACGGTATATAATTTGAAAGAAAACTCCGTAAATTCTAAGAAACGATTCTATGAAATCACACCAGACGTGTAAATCTAGTTATCAACTTTCGAGTTCAGAAGAGTATAAGAACTATGAAAATTGAAGTTATAGAGGATTAAAATCTAGATTTGGTACAGAGTTGTTGCAGAATAGAGGACCAAGATATGGAATAAAAGAATAAGATGAACAACAAATAAAGAGATAGAGAGAGGGAAAAAAAAAGTCAATACAGAGTACCTTGAGAGAAACCCTAGGTTTGAATTGAAGTTAGAGAGAGAGAGAGAGAGAGTTGAAAAAGAGGGTAACAGAGAAGCTGAACAG